AGTGAGACCTTCCTACCCCATCTCCAAACAAAAAAGTTAACCACATATTTTGGACTTTTGTATGAATAACTATACATATCTCTGCCGTTATTTTTGGCAGTCACATTGCACTTATGTTTTATTAAGCAGTTCCTTTCTGATAGGCACTTCATCTGTTTCTAGTATTTTGCCACCATATAAAAAAAGCTTTGAAGAACATCCTTAAACATACTTTTTGCACACATCAAGGATTATTTCCTCAGGATTAATTCCTACATGTAACATTACTGGTTTGAAGATTTGCTTGTTTTCAAGGTTTTGGTTAAGTATCATCTAATTGCCCGCCAGAAAGATTACATCAATTTATATTTTACAGTAAATAATTCAGAATTCTCTTTTGCCTGAACTTTTACCAATGGTGCATATTACTTTAAAAAAAAAACTTTGATAATCTACTGGATGAAAAACTACGATCTCATTACTTTTTAAATTTTGTTTTTATTATTAACAAATATTTGTGGATATATATTTTGATGTCTAGTGGGCAATTGTGACATCTTTGAAATGCTTAGTCTCATTTTTCCATTGTTGGTTATCTTTTTCTTATGGATTTGTGAATGATATAGATTTTAATACTTTGTCTTTTATGTATATATATTTATATATATTTTCTCTAATTTGCTTCTAAGAGAAGACTCCCTAAAATTTTATAGGTTTTTTTAAAATGTGGCTTTTCTTAATGCACAAAGGTTACACTTTTAAAATGGTCAAATCTGTCAAGCTTTTGCTTTTTTTATTTCTGACACTGGTGTTGTCAGATTCATTTTTTAGAAGTTGGCAAAGGTTCTGTCTCTTTAGGGAGTATAGCTGCCATCCAGGTAAAATGCAGATCCTCAGTCTCTGTGGCATACCACAGACTGTTCTCACCACACTCAACCAAATTTATCTCCCACCCCTTCTAAATGCAAGTGCTCTACTTTGGTAAGCTTAGTCTATTGTATGTATTGGTGTATTGGCTCTAGAGTATGGCAGAAAAGCAGACTAAGATTCTAACTCGGTCATTCACCAACAGTATAAGAACTTTTGAAGTCTCAGCTTCCTCATATTTAACTGAAATCAGGAGTGATGGGAGACTAAGATATATGTAATAAACTGCAAAGTTTAACAAATAATTGGCGCTTAATACAAATTAATTCTCCAGTTATCCCCCATGTTTTTGCTCATGCTGGGACATTTCTCTGGGATACTTTTCTTTGTCTTCCCTTCTTGTAGTACTTAACGTACCCTTCTGGCACAGTTCTATCCAGACACCTTCACAAAGGTTTCCATAAGACAGGGAGTTTATGATGCATCTTACTCAGTTTAGGTGTCTTATATTCCTATTTTAACATTTCAAGAATGTTTAATGAGCCAAGTTGTAAGTATCAGAATGGCCTGGCCCAGTGCTTGGTACTTAATTGCACCCAATAAATATTTGTGGAATGTATAAATGAATAACAAGTATTTGGGAAATAACAGCAAAGGTATTAAGAGCAATTACAAACTGCACTTAAAACCAGCCTAATTATTGTGCTAGAAGTACACAATTGGTAATTAATGCAAATTTGTAATAAATGTGGCAATATATCCTGCATTGTACCATTGAATATCTAATAATTCACTGTTCCACTGGAATATACCACTGGAGCAAATTATTCCTAATAGTTTGGTGTACTGTACCTCTTCAGTTTTAGTATCTGATATCACACTTTTGCTTCTCTGAAACTGGGATGTGTCTTACTATCAAATAAATAGCCGGTGACTGGGTGACAGTGAGAGTACAGTTGGCATTGCCTCTTTATTTGTGAGCATGGGCATAATCCAATTGTCATCACTTCTATTAAATTCTATGCAATTTAATATTACATGTGTCAAAGCTATATGCCAAGAAACACAACTGAAGGCAGACAAAATTGCTAGATGCGTCAGATTAGGTGAAAGAAATTTCAAAGCAACGAGAGACTGATATAACCAACATATGTAACATGCAGGAGGCTTCCTTCTGGCCATTCACAGAGAAGCTGCATAGCTTGTAGTGACATGTGGTTCAGTTGAACAAGAAAACTACGTGTTTGTCAAAGAGGACAGTGCCAGTATCAAATTTGCAGAATGGGTGTCAGCGGGTGGGACACAAATCCCAGAGACAAGACTGGAACATCCTGTTAAGTAGTGTCGCACTACCAATGACATTGTATGGAGGAAAAACACACATATATTATTACCCTCCATGAGAAGGGATTCAGAAGAATTAGGCTAGATATGCAAAATTTCAATCAATTTATTTTGCTTATATTTTTCTTTTCTATATGTGCATGCTACTAAAAAAAAATCTATGTCTATGTAGGTCTAAGAGCACTCTTTCGGTAAGTATAAATTCTATATGCTACCACATTTTGTCATAGTTTAATTAGCAGCTCTTTTTCCTTCTTGGTGGTACAAGCAATTGAAGATGTCTTAGATTTGAACAGATATGATAAACTGAATAGGCACTAGGTCTATGAGTTTCCAAACTTCCCTCAGTGTAGGAACAGAACTTAGTGTTTTGTTGTTGTTGTTGTTTGGGTAGGCACTATGTTGTTGCTTAGGTAGGCAGATCCTGTGATTTCTTCACAAACATCAGTTACACTTGTTTGCAAAAGCAACATAATTTGAAGAAAAGCCAACTTCTCACATCACCACTTATAGGTTCTTAATGTAGGTTACAGATTGTATTCAGAATTAGGTAAACACTTTATTTATCATTAGCGAAGCACTTCTGAAATTAATTTGTTATATTATTTCTAATATGAAAGCAATACATGTTGGTATAGAAAAAACCCTATATATGCCGAGCGTGGTGGTTCATGCCTATAATCCCAGCACTTTGGGAGGCCGGGGTGAGAGAACTGCCTGATCCTACAGGTTTGAGGCCAGTCTGGAAAAGTTGGTGAGACATCATCTCTACAATAAATTAAAAAGAAAATTAGCTGGGTGTGTTGGCATGCGCCTATAGTTCCAGCTACTTGGAAGGCTGAGGTGGAAGGATCGCCTGAGCCCAGCAGGTCCAGGCTGTGGTGGCCATGAGCATGCCATCGCCCTCCAGCCTGGGGGACAGAGTGAGAGACTCCAACTCAAAAAAAAAAAAGAAAAAAAAAACCCTTTTTTTTCCAGGTTAGAGGGCTGTGGCACGCTCACGGCCACCTCAGCGATGACCCACTGGACTCAGGTGATCTTTCTGCCTCAGCCTTCCAAGTAGCTGGAGCTACAAGCACTCGCTACCAGGCTCAGCTAATTGAAAAAACCCTATATTAAAAAATACCTTTGTATCTATGTATAAGTATGTAATTAATCATATATTTTCCAACCAAAATATTTGGTAAATTTGTTTTAAAAATTGTTTTTAAGTTATTTTATTATTTTTTTAGAGATAGGGTCTCGCTCTGTCGCCCAGGTTAGAGTGCAGTGGCAATACCATAGCTCACTGCAGCTTTGAACTCCTGAGTTCAAGCGCTTCTTATGCCTCAGCCTCCTGAGTAACTGGGACAATAGGTGTGTGCCACCACACCTAACTTTAATATTTTGTAGAGACGAGGGTATCGCTATGCTGCCCCAGTTAGTCTTGAATGACTGGCCTCAAGTGATCTTCCTGCTTTGGCCTCCCATAATGCTTAGCAGTTTTCTTTTAAAATTTTGTATGCTATTTCTTCTTTTCTTCTAGTTTATAAAAATGTCTCAGATCCAAGTAATATATGTGCATTGTACGGCATTTAGAAAGTGCACACAGAGATTGCCTCTTAATATTTTTGACCATTACATTCAATCTAGGCAAAAAACAAGCAGCATAACTTGCACAAGTGGATGCCCACTACATCCCTGCTGATGTTGAAAGAGAACTTGAAAGGGGCCCATTATGTTTTGTTAATAACATAATCAATCACACAGATCTTACAGTCTAAAATTTTTTGTCTTCTCAAGTTTGCCTTATTATTCTCACACAATAGTAGCTTGGCCATGACACAGTCATCTTTCTACTATTTGGCAAGTGTGCACTCTGGCAGGGAGGGTTACTGTTCTCACTTTTTTACTATCATTCATTTACTCGAATACTGATTCAACAAACATTTAAGTGCCTACTATGTGCCTGAAACAAAGAGGAGACAAATAAACACAGCCCCTTGTCCTCATGTAGATTTCAGTGTAAAGACAAGGGATATAAAGATAAATAAATGTATACATACACATTTTGATAGGTTCAGAAATGGAAGAGAACAAGTGCCTGAGAAAATAAACAACGGGGCGGGGGCAGTGGTCTAAATCATGAAGGGTCAGGATTTTGGAATTTATTCTATATACTCTTGAAAACCAGTACATTTTCTTTGCAGCTGAAATTGCGTTTATCTTTTGCAGGCAGCTTTCAAGGTTCAACGCATACAAGGTCGAAAGATAATGAAATAAAAACTCTCCCTTCCTCCGGTTTCCTCGCCACCCAGTTTCCCTTCCCAGAGCTACCAGTTTACCGCTCTGAAAATGCTCTAGGCACAAACAAGCAAATCTATCTGTCTGTATTATGAGGAATTTTAATAATATAGAGTGAGCCCATTCGATATGTAGCCCACCGCATGCAGAGAAGGGCATGGCTCTCTCCGGGAGCGCCCCGCGCTGCCTCTCGTGCTTTTCACACACCCCACTCTGCCGCGCGTTCTCGGTTTCAACCCGGGAGACTCTCAGAGCTTCGTAAATTGCACCTCGGCGGAGCTCCTAAGCTGCTTCCCACGCTGCGCTTCCGACCACCATCCCGCGAGCCCACAGCGCCCGTGCCGCCGCCGCCAGTCCGCAGCATCCAACCCGAAACCCTAGAGCTCAGCACCAGCTCAGGTGCCCTGGTCCGTGTCACGCTGAGCCTGGAGCGGGCGCAGAGGACGTGGGGGCGGGAAGACAGCGTCTCCCCTCTGGTTGCGACGGAGGCGGATTTGGGCGGGGCCAGGTCGGGCGGGGCTAAGCATGGGGCGTGGTCAGCCTTGGGGGCGGAGCCGGCGCCGCGGTGGCTGCTGAGCTCTCCCGAGCTCCACGGCCGCGCTTTGGTCCCGGACCCGAGCTACTCACCGGGCGGTGGGCGCTCGTTGGTCCCGGGCTTTGCCAGCCCCCGAAGGCAAATTCGCCTGGGAGCCGCGCAACTCGAGCGCGAGGGCTCCCGCGATGAGGGCGGGCGGCTGGATGGCGGCGGAGGGGCGCGTCCCGCGGCGAGTTTCCCAAGAAAGCTGAACTCGTCCCAAGTTTCCTGTGCATCGCCTTGCACCCGGTGAATCGGTGGCTGGCTCGTTCCTTGAGGGTGGTCGTTGGGCGCGGGAGAGACGCGGAGGTGATTGGATTAATCCGCCTGGTGGGCTGCCCAGATTCCCGCCCTGGAGCGCGCAGCACGGTGGGTGCAGTTTTTGCCCGAGAAAGGGCGGTTAAGTGCCGCGCAGTCTTGTCCCGCGCTACAGCGAGGTGACCGCGGACTTGGAGTTCGCGGGTCTGTCTGGCGTGCCTGGTTGTCCGGAGGCAAGGTTCCATAACTTCTTTCCTCTTTAGGCAAGACTAGCTCGGTGCTGTTCCTCCCGGGGCGGACCCCCGAGACCCCGCTATGGACGGCGAGAGCGAAGTGGATTTTTCCAGCAACAGCGTAACCCCCTTGTGGCGGAGGCGGTCGACCCCTGAGCCCCAGCTGCTGGGTCGGAGCAAGCCGAGACCGCAGTCCTACCAGAGCCCCAGCGGGTTGCTGATCACGGATTTCCCGGTGGAGGAGCGGGGGACGCACCCCGCAGCGCAGGCTCCAGCCCAGGTGCCCGCCGCCTCGGAGGGCAGGACCGTCCACAGGAGTCCCCTGCTTCTGGGTGCCCATCGGAGCCCGGTAGCCAATGGTGGGACGGTCTCCCCGGAGTACAGCGCTGCCTCGCCTCGAGTTCGACGACCCAAGTCCCCCCAGGTTTCCAAAGCAGTGCCGAGTGGCTCCCCGAAATCCCCAGCGAATGGCACGGTGAGCCCGCCTGTGCCGCCGCGGGTACTGCGCCCCCCGCGGACTTTCAGTGCGTCCGCCTCCGGCAGCCCGGAGGGGGACCCGTCTGGGTTGACCGCCAGCCCGGTGCCCTCGCCCGCTGCGAATGGCCTTGGCCCCAGTCACGACTCTCCTGGCTCCGGCTCCCAGTCTGGCCAGCCGGCCAAGGACCCCGAACCGGGGTCCTCTCCTGCATCCCAGAAAAGGTCTTCGGAACAAAAACTCCCCCTTCAAAGGCTGCCCTCACAGGAGAACGAGCTCCCGGAGAATCCTTCCGTGGTTTTGAGTACAAACAGCCCCGCCGCCCTCAAAGTGGGGAAGCAGCAGATCATTCCGAAGAGCCTGGCCTCAGAAATTAAGATAAGTAAATCCAACAGCCAGAATGTGGAGCCCCACAAGAGGCTTCTCAAGGTGCGCAGCATGATGGAGGGCCTTGGAGCACCCCTGGGACACGCAGGGGACGAGGGCGAGGTCGACAACGACTTGGACAGCCCCGGGTCTCTGCGGAGGGGCTTGCGGTCCACATCCTATCGCAGGGCCGTGGTCAGTGGCTTTGATTTCGACAGTCCTACCAGCTCGAAGAAGAAGAACAGAATGTCCCAGCCTGTTCTGAAGGCAGTGGTGGAAGACAAGGAGAAGTTTTCCAGCCTGGGGAGGATAAAGGTGAGAGTGGGCAGGAGTGTGGCCTGCCATTCACTAAGCCAGAGTGAATGGGGTCGGGGTGGGAGAGAGGGTCGGGGGGGGAAGCACCGGAAACAAGTAGTCACTCTCTTTTAATTCTGTTTTATTTATGACCTGGGCACATCTATCTCCTGGTCACTTTGTGGCTGGCAGACCCAGCCAAGTTTAAGGTATCTTTGTGGGGAGAAGTGAAACTCATCACTTTTAACCTTCTAAGCTCAGGCAAAATTGGGGGCGATAAAAGGGAAAAACTTTCTGGCAGATTAACATATTGACTGAGTGAGTCCTGAGCACTTTTCACACAAGTAGCTGAGACAGGGAGCATGTATAAATCTGCACACTTGACAGTGGTCAAGTTGTCTGGTGTTTAGAAGTGTAGGGGTAGCTGTTATGACAGCTGTATAGAAAAATACTGATTTCTGTTTGAACCTGTTTTGTATTTTCTGCTTTTACTTACTGAATTGTTTTTTGGTGGTGATTACACACTTGATGTCATCTGGGCAAAATGAATTTTAAAATCAATTGCCAGGATCCCAAAAGACCCATAGTTTGTCATCTTTTCTGTTGCTTGTTTTTGTCACTGTGGCCTTTGGTTGTATTGTATTCCCATTTTATGCCCATTCATTCTTGAGTGCGTTTAACAAATTGGTAGCTCAGAACCTCAGGTTAAGGTGAACTGTGTGATGTGGCTTCCTGATACTGGCCTAGAAGGTGCACTTACCGAAATATTGCCAAATATGACATAAAGAAATAGGGAACACTAGAGAGAGATATTTTGGAGTGTGTGCTGCCTTCTCCAGAAATAAGACAGATCTCAGTAATAGGACAGAGATTCTTTTCGGCAGCCACATTTTTGCTTGATTAATCAGAGAACTGGAACTAGTCTATGTGAGTGTCACATATGTAATACACAAGCAAGCCTGTTTTATTTTAGAGCTCATGGTCTTAAATAAAAGAAATTACATAACATTTTATGTGTTTTTTTTCAACTCTGCATGTATAGCAGAGTTCAATTTAACAGTGATGTTGAATCACAAGTAGTGAAAGGAGCTGAACTGTTGGTCATTTGAGGCTTCTCAGTCTGTTTTGATGGGGTTTGGGAGATTTTGTACATTTTGTTTCACTGTTTCAATGAATTTTAGTGGTCATATGAGTGAACTGCTCTAGGCCTCATCTGTTGTGTGCTTTTGGAAATCTAATGAATGCATAACAAAAAAAGTAATTTTACTTAAAATAGCTGTATTTTCTTTTTGGCTCATTCATACATGGTTTGCTTTTGCTCCCCCCTCTATTTGTTTATTTATTTATTTTTTTGCTTTTTGCGTCTTTTAGAAAAAAATGCTGAAAGGACAAGGAACATTTGATGGGGAAGGTAAGCATTTAATTTTCCAGACTTTTATTGCTGTTTCAATGTGGAATACCAATTATAAGTTGAAATCCAACTGCAGTAACAAAAACACTTAAGATGAGAAATATGTCCAACTTCTTCCCAAATTATACAGTCTAAAACTCTTCACTAAGCTAATTTTTCTCCTAGTCACAACAACAGTGACTATAATTAATGGCATTTCTTATAAGCTGATTACTTTTTCAATCAGTGTCCTGTATTTGCAATTTTTCTTTATTTTGGCTCTGTCCCCTTCTTCCTTAAAAAATAGAGACTCAGAGCAAGCTCTAGCCTTTTAGTTAAAAATTCTGAGTTTGGCAGTTAGATCTGAGGTCATATTTCTTTAGGTCACATGTCCTTTGACTTAATATTCTTTCCTTCATATTTCCACATTTTAGTATCACTTCCAGGTTCCTGTTTCCTTACTAAATTTCAACTTTGGGAAACTCTAACTCTCCTGGCCGGCAGAAATATATTTTTGAGAATTTTTAGCCCATACAGTATTGTTGCTAAGGATCTCAAAAACAAAAGCAGCTTCCACCAGGTGTTCAGACACTAATCAGATTAGTGTACTTTCTGTAAATAGATGGGTCAAGTGTCAACCAGCCTGGAAGAGCATGAAGGGAGCCGTCTCAGCTGCAGCCCTTGTAGAGCCAGAGGACCATGGCAGTACTGAGGGTCGTTACTAACTGCCATGTTTTGAAGTGCTGAGGTATTCCAACCTTTAAAGAATATGGAAGGGAAAGCCCCTCTATAAGTAAAGCTAATGTAAAACCACCCAGAGTTATAAAATATATAGCCTTAGATGATTAGAGAACATTTCCCTATATAATTCTCATAAAGATGAGTTTCCCATTGGACCATTTAAAAATTACGTATAGGCTGGGCACAGTGGCTCACTGCTGTAATCCCAGCACTTTGAGAGGCCTAGACAGGAGGATAGCTTGAGCTCAGGAGTTTGAGACCAGCTTGGGCAATATAGCAAGAACTTGTCTCTACAAAAATCTGAAAATTAGCCAGTCGTGTTGGCATGCATCTGTGATCTCAGCTACTTTGGGAGGCTGAGGCAGAAGGATTGCCTGAGCCCAGAAAATCAAGGCTGTGGTGAGCCATGATCATGCCACTGCACTCCAGCCTAGATGACAGAGTGAGACCCTGACTCAAAAATAAAGTGTTTTATAAAAATTCATTCATTGCACCAACTTTTGGAAATATGGAGAAGATATGGAGAAGAAACCCTGATGCAGTATTTAGCTGGTTGAGATAAATTTGTCTCTCTGATTTTATAACTGAGGAAACTGGAAGCTCTGAGAGGTTATAACTTATCCACTGTCACACAGCTGGTAACATAGCCAGATCTGGTACTTAGTCCAGTTTGCTTCCTCTTGTACCATTCTGACTATAGAGTACAGAGCATCTTTGTGATATCTGTGTACTTAAGGAGATGCTTTACATCCCCAAGAATTTAACACTGAATTTGTGACCTTAGTCTCAGAGTGTTAAACATTTTGAGTTTTTTTAAGGTCATTGGGCAGACCCTCATTTTAACTAGTTCTTGTGTTACTTCCTTTTATAAGGACATGCTTCTTTGTGTCTTCTCAAATATGATGACCTAGGAACTCTTTTTTTCACATAAATATCCTCGAGGAATGCAGGTTTCTTACAGTTAATGACTACTAAGAATCTAGCTCAGGAAGCTGTGTGGCTGAAATGTGGGAACATGCGATGGAGCCAGGCAGATCCGGGTTCTTGTCCTACTGCTCCTGGGCATCATAGAGTGACACTGAGCAAAACACTTAACTTCACTGAGTCCTCATTGAGCTACTTCATGGGTGAAATGAGGTTAATAATACTGTTGCCTATGTTATTGTGAGAATGAATGAGCAATCACAACAACAATGTTACGCATATACATTGTGCCAACCACAGAGTCCTGTAAAGACTAGGGGAAACAGTCTTTACCCCATAATCTGTTTTACATAAGCACAGCAATCAGAGACCAGCACACTCCTGCACAGCAATCAGAGACCAGCACACTCGTGCATAGACTCCAGAGTTGCTTTAGTCATAGTGCGTATAGAACAGTCTATGGTTGATGGGGAAGGAGGCAGATGTGTGCTTGCTGTAGCAGATGGGAAAGGAGATTCAAACTTCATATGTCCCAAACCTTACTCATAATCTTCCCCACTGAACCTGATTCTTTTCTGGTGTTTCTGCCACCTGCTTTACAGTTGTAGGACCTGAAGACCTAGAAACATCCTTAATACCTCCAGCTCTCTGTCCCCATATCCAGTCTCTCACCAATCCATTCTGAGTTATGTGACCCAAATCTCCATCATCCTTCATGGACTACCCCAGTAGCATTCTTTTTTGTTTGGTTTTTGAGTTGGAGTCTCACTGCGTCGCCCAGGCTGGAGTGCAGTGGCATACTCATGGCCACCCCAGCGTCAACCTGCTGTGCTCTGGCGATCCTTTCGCCTCAGCCTTCCAAGTACCTGGAACTACAGGCGCATGCTACCATGCCCGACTAATTTTTTATTTTTTATGTATTGTAGAGATGAGGTCTTGCCAAGTTGCCCAAGCTGGTCTCGAACCCGCGGGCTCAGGCAATCCACTCGCTTCAGCCTCCCAAAGTGCTGGCATGACAGGCTGAGCCAATGAGCCCGGCCCCCAGTAGCATTCTAATTAGTCTCCTAGATAGTCAGTGTTTTGCTCTCCAATCTTATAAAATATTACCTTTTAGTGGATGCCTGTTGCATTCAGGCTAAAATACAATCATTACAGAGTAAAAGAAACTCAGTTGTTTTGTATCCAGGGTAAAATCTTTGTACCCAGGATAAAATCCCCACCCCCCTACCCCACCCTTTTTTTTTCTTTTTTCTTATTTTATTTTTTTTAGTTAGGGCTTCACTCAGTCACCTAGACTGGAGTACAATGGCATGATCACGATTCACCACAGCCTCGACTTCCTGGGCTCAGGCAATCCTTTTGCCTCAGCCTCCCAAGTAACTGGGACTACAGGTGTGTATCACCATGCGCAGCATATTTTTTGATTTTTTTGTAGAGATGAAGTCTTGCTATGTAGCCTAGGCTGGTCTTGAACTCCTGAGCTCAAACGATCCGCCTGCCTAGGCCTCCCAAAGTGCTGGGATAGCAGATGTGAGCCACTGTGCCCAGCCCATTCTTTAATGTTACCTACAAAGCTTTGCTTGATTTGAACTACCTGGCTCATCTCTAAACTCATATTGCACTATTTGGCCACTAGTCACACTCAAACTTAGCCCTTGTCTTTTCTTTGTTCTTTTAAGATATGGTCTTGCATCACGTAACGACGGTGGAATGATGGTGGAACAGCACGTTACTATTCTGAATACTGTAGGCAGTTGTAATACAATACTATTTGTGTATCTAAACATAGAAAAAGTACAGTAAAAATATGACAAAAAAGATTAAAAATGGTGTGCCTGTATAGAGCTTGCATGAATGCAGCTTACAGGACTGGAGGCTGCTCTGAGTGAGTCAGCAAGTGAGTGGTAAGTGAACGTGAAGACCTAGGATGTTACTCTGCACCACTGTGGACTTTATCAACACTGCACACTTAGGCCACACTAAATTTGTAAACATTTTCTTTCTTCAGTAATAAATTAACTGTAACTTGCTGTAATTTTTTCACTTTATAAACTTTTTGAGTCTTACAGAGTGACACTTAGCTTAAAACACAAACATATTGTACAGCTGTACAGACATATTTTCTTTCATTATATTCTTATTCTGTAAACTTTTTTATTGTAAAATGTTTTTATTTTTATATTTTAAACTTTTTGGTAAAGATGAAGACACAGACACACACATTATTAGCCCAGGTGTACACAGGGTCAGGATATCAATCTCACTGGCTTTCACCTCCACATCTGGGTCCACTGGAAGGTCTTCAAGGGCAATAACCCGCATGGAGCTGTTGTCTCCTATGATAACAACGCCTTATTCTGGAATTTTTTCTGAAGGACCTGCTGGAGGCTCTTTGACAGTTAGCTTCTTTTTTTTTATAGGCAGAAGGAGTACACTCTAAAATAATGATAAAAAGTATAGTACAGTAAATACATAAACCAGTCACAGTCATTTATTATCATTAGCGAGTACCATGTACTGTACATAATTGTATGTGCTAGACTTTTCTATGACTGGCAGTGCAGTAGTTCTGTTTACACCAGCATCACCACCAACATGTGAGTAATGCGTTGTGCTAAGACATTACGCTGGCTACGATGTCACTAGGCGGTAGGAATTTTTCAGCTCCATTATAATCGTATGGGGTCACTGTTGTATATGTGGTCTGTCGTTGACTGAAACAATGCTATGAGGTGCGTGACTGTATTATGTTTCTTACTGTGTGCCTGTTACGGCTTTTGCAAATGCCTCTTCTGTGGCTCGGTAGCTTCTCAGCTTTCAGATCCTAGACTTTCCTCGTTGACACCTCCCTGACCCTCAGACTAGAACCACACCCTGCTGACAGTCTGTTTTTAGAACACCTGTATCTCAGTCCTTTAATTTGAAGATGTGTAATTGTGTTAAGATCATTGTGTCCTCAGCCCTACAATGACTTGCCATCATACTTGGAGTAAAAATCAAAGTCCTTCAATAACATTAGGCAAGACCCCGCATGATCCCCTTGACTCGCCCTCAACTCCCATCTCTTGTTCTTTTCCCTGCCCCTTCATGGTATGCCAGCATCTAGGCCTCCTTGCTGCTCTTTGTAGATGCATACATACTAAACAGGCTCCGGCTCCAGGGCCTTTGTACTTGCTCTGCCCCCTCCCTCCCTGAGATGATCTTTTTCTAGCTGTATAGGTAACTTTTTTTCTCACCTCAGTGAGTCCTTCCTAAACCACCCTATTTAAAATCTACATACCCTCTTCCAGCACTTCCCACTCTCTTCGCAATTTTACTTTCTGACCCTTGTCAGGCTCTGAAATACTATAAAAGTTACTGGTTCTCCAGTCTAGGCAACAAAACAAGACCTTGTATCTAAAAAAAAAATGAGCTGGGCCTGGTGGTGCAGACCTGTAGTCTCAGCTACTTGAGAGACTAAGGCAGGAGGATCACCTGAGCCCAGGAGGTTGAGGCTACGGTGAGCTGTGATCGTGCCGCTGCACTCCAACCTTAGTGACAAAGTGAGACCTTGATTCAAAAGGGAAAAAAAGGTACTGGTTTATTTATTGCAGTTCTCTCACACTCTAATGTTGAATCATAAAGATTGAGATTTTGGGGGGCCTGTCATATTTTCAGTGCAAAGCAGTTGCTGGCACCTAGTAGGTGTTTTCTAAATAGTAGTTGGGTGAATGCATGTGTGAATGAATCTGTTTTTCTTATTCAATTGTTAGCTCATGAAGGCATGAGAGGTGTCTTTTGTTTTCCATTTTACCGTCAGCCCTGGGCACATTATAGATAAAGTGCAATAAATGTTTGTTATATAGATGAATGAATGGTATTGTACCTTTAAAAAAAGGTAAGGTATGAATTTCATTCAACCTAAATAACAATGATTTAACTGGTCTGACTGCCCTTCATGAGTAGAGGACAGAGGAAAATTTGCTTCTGTTGGTGTTCTGTGTATGAGCCCCTTCCTTCTTCTGCAGATGAATTTAGGACAGAGCTATGTGAGAAAATCACTTTTCTGTAATTTCTCTTCAGTGTCAAAATCTGTTTGTCTTTTTGTTGTTTATTTATTTATTTTTTTAAGTTGGAGTCTCACTCCGTTGCCCAGGCTGGAGTGCAGTGGCACACTCACAGCCACTCCAGCATCGACTTGCTGGGCTCCGGCTGTCCTTCCACCTCAGCCTTCCAGCAGCTGGAACTACAGGCGCCCTACTACTCCTGGCTAATTTTGGATTTTATTGTAGATGAGGTTTTGCCAAGTTGCCCGAGCTGGTCGAACCCATGGGCTTACCTTGGCCTCCCAAAGTGCTGGGGTTATAGGCTGAGCCACCGAGCCCGGCCTCTTTGTTGTTTATTAAACTGGAGACCATAGGCTGAGTATGGTGGCTCACGTCTTTAATCCTAGTATTGGGGAGCCCAAGACAAGAGGATTGCGTGAGCCCAGGAGTTCAATACCAGCTTAGGCAACATAATAAGACCTTGTATCTGCAAAAAATAATTAAATTAGCTTGTGCCTGTTGTCCCAGCTACTTGGGGGGCTAAGGCAGGAGGGTTGCCTGAGTCCAGGAGGCTGAGGCTGCAGTTAGCTATGATCATGCCACTGCACTCCAGCCTGAGTGATAGAGTGAGACTCTGACTCAAAAAATAAAAATAAAAAGTAAATGAACTGGAGACCTAACATGGTTTGAATGTGGATGTTTGTTTAGAACAAGTCGTATAATGATTGAGAGCAATTAGTGACACGTACAGCTCGTTTTCTTTCAGAAAATGCTGTCCTATATCAAAACTACAAAGAAAAGGCCCTTGACATTGACTCTGATGAAGAGTCGGAGCCCAAAGAACAGAAGTCGGATGAAAAAATCTTGATTCACCATAAGCCGCTGAGATCCACGTGGAGCCAGCTCTCTGCTGTGAGTGTATACATCCTTCTCTATTTGCGGGAGGAATACCAAGCTGGGGAAATGATGTGTGGATGTGACTTTTATTTTTTCTGCCAATGAGCCTGTAATTCCAAGGAGACGCTTCTTTTTAGATTATGAAATGTTTCTCAAAATTCTGCAGACACTAATGAGAACATGAACTTTGATGTGTCTGATCAGGAAAATTAGGTTTTGATAAAATCAAGTGCCTTGAGATTGATGTACTGTGGACTTTGGAAACTCATCCCTACTAGGTATCCTTTTATATATATATAATGTTTATGTCCAGAAGTGACTTAATAATAGCCTGAACTTTATCATAATTATGGCTATATACCTATAAATGTGCATGTGTGTATATACATGTTATGTGTGTACTTGTATGAATTTCTATGTACAATAAGGAGCTTATTGCAGTTTTCTTTAGAAGTTTCATTTGGTACAGACACGTTTATATTTTCTTTGAAGCTATTAATTAATGGCATTCCATTCCCTCTTCCTCTGGACATCTTTTGCATAAATGCATGTTGATAAGTAATTTCTCCTCTCTGCATCAAACGTCTTTTGCTTTTTTTTTTTTTGAGTCAGGGTCTCATTCTGACACCCAGACTGGAGTATAGTGGCATTATCGTGACTCACCACAGCCTCAACCTCCTAAGCTCAGGTAATCCTTCCTCCTCAGTCTCCTGAGTAGCTGAGACTATAGGCATATGCCACCACGCCTGGCTAATTTTTTGATTTTTGTAGAGACAAGGTCTCGCTACGTTGCCCAGGCTGATCTTGAACTCCTGAACTTAAGCATTCCTCTCACCTTGGCCTCCGAAAGTTCTGGGATTATAGGCGTGATCCACCACATTCAGCATCTTCTACTTTTTAACCATAATATTTTTTCCTCCTGGCTTACAGCGTGTTACAGTGTGATACTTAGTTTACTTGCTAAGAGTTCAGGCATAGCATTTGTGGGCATCTGATTCATTAGCAAGTAGAAAGGAATTCCCAGAACTGGCTTGGGTGGGGGAAGCATTGCTCAAAAACAAGCCAGTACACCTCCATGCGTCCTTAGGCAGTGTAAGAGCAGGGACGATTCCCTTGTAAGCCGGAATGAGTGTGTTCAGAGTCAGGAAGCTCATGTATTTTGGGAACCCACCAGCCTAAGGGAAGAAGTTGTGTGTGCTAGCACCGTGTAGCGGGGATTGTGGCAATGTGTGGATGTTAATGGTGGTGGACGACTTCTGGTTCCAGCTCTACTTTCCCTTTTCTAACCTATATTGGAATTCCTGTAATCCCAACACTTTGGGAAGCTGAGGTGAGGGGATTACCTGAGTCCAGGAGTTCAGGACCAGCCTGGGCAATATAGTGAGACCTTGACTCTATTATAAAAAAAAAATGTAGAAACCTCTATATCCCTCCCAGCCCCTAATTTTGTTCTAAGGAGAATCTATTAATATCCATTGCCTCCAAGGTATAGCACCTTAGTATAATGCCCCAAATTAAATTATCTACAGTAGTGGAGCTAGTCGTGTGAATAAGTGATGCTGGTGCGTGTGGGTGATGGGGAGTGGTGGGGGCTTTGGTGAACAGGCCTTATATAAACTGAGCAGTGGCCGAACTCAGTGACTCAGCCTGTAATCCTAGCACTTTGGGAACCCTAGGTGAGTGGATTGCCTGAGTCTGCAGGTTCAAGACCAGCCTGGGCAACTTGACAAGGCCTTGTCTCTAATAAAAAATTAGTCGGGCGTGGTAGCGTGCGCCCGTAGTTCCAGCTGCTTGGAAGGCTGAGGTGAAAGAATTGCTGGAACTCAGCAGGTCGACGCTGGGATGGCCATGAGTGTGTCACTGCACTCTAGCCTGGGAGACGGAGTGAGACCCCCAACTCAGAAAACAAAACAAAACCGAGCAGCTACTGCTTAGCTTAAACCAGGTTAATAGGGGGCTCTGTGTGGCCAGATCTGATATTTAGAAAAGAGAATACAGAAATTCAGACTTTTGTGAGTATTATCCTAATTTTAGTTTTTGAATAATATTTATATATTCTTTTTTTTTTTGCATCAAGGTCTTACTCTTTTGCCCAGAGTGGAGTGCAGTGGCATGATCACAATGATCATGGCTCACGGCAGCCTCGATCTGCTGGGCTCAGGCAATCTTTCCATCTCAGCGTCCCAACTAGCTGAGACTATGGGTGCATGCCACCACACTCGACTAATTTTTGTTGTTGTTGTTGAGTGAGGTTTCTCTATGTTGTCCAGTTTCAGGTCTCCAACTCCTGGTCTCAAGCAGTCCGCCTACCTCGGCCTCCCAAAGTGCTGGGATTACAGGCGTGAGCCATGGTGCCTGGCCTGTTATTTCTTTCTTTATGTCCATGTATACCTGCTGTTTAGCTCCCACTTGTGAGAACACTCCATTTCTGTGTCTGACTTCTGTGTCATGAGCTAGTTCACTTAGAAAAATGGCCTCCAGCTCCAGCTCCATCCATGTTTCTGCAAAGGATATGATTTCATTCTTGATATGTCTACATAGTATTCCATGGTGTATATCTACCACATTTCCTTTGTCCAGTCCAGCATGGATGGGCACCTAGGTTGGTTCCATGTTGATTCAATTTTTTTGTTTTTTGAGTCAGTCTCACTCTGTCGCCCAGGCTGAAGTGCAGTGGCACGCTCACAGCCACCCCAGCCTTGACCTGCTGAACTCAGGCGATCCTTCCACCTCAGCCTTCCAAGTAGCTGGAACTGCAGGCTTGTGCTACCATGCCCAGCTAATTTTTTGCTTTATTGTAGAGGTGAGCTCTCACCAACTTGCTCAGGCTGGTTTCAAACCCTTGGGCTCAGGCAATCCTCTTGCCTAGGACCCCCAAAGTGCTGGGATTACAGGCTTGAGCCACTGCACCCAGCCTTAATTCAAATTTTAAAGAAATGCTGTGTGAGTCTAACAAAATATCTATGGGCCATACTTGGCCCCTGCACTTACAGTTTGTAGCTTTTGTGATAATTTTATGATTTTTGTGTGTGGTAAGAGTGGTAACACCTAGCCACAGAATTGGTGTATTAGCAGCCTTTAGCCCTAATCTAATGATTTCATGATACGTGTATACCAAAACAGATATGTGGAAAAACTGGTGACAAGGTTCATTGAGGCCATGTCAGCACTAAATGGCTTTCAGTCAGTTCATTCAGTTGTTGGTGTGGACCATTTGGTAGAGGATTTAGGAGAAGAAAGAAGCCTGTGGGTTTTTTGAGTTTTCTCTCTGTGGCAGCAGCTGTGTTTGTTAGCACAGGCCTAAATCCTGCTGTTGGTCCCCGCCAGAACGCCAAACAGAAATGTGGATTTCTGTGTCAGTTACACACTGATCCAACTTAGTATTAGCACTAAAAATATGCCTCCTGGGGTTTGGCTTTCATGTAGATGAACACATATATATGTAGTTAAATAACAGTGCATATCTTTCACTTCAACTTCATTTATGGACATGCATTTTATTTGGCAAAAGTAAATATACGGATGTGCCTTTTGTAAACTAGATCGGTAGCAAAGAACGATCTTGTAATGAAATGTAAAATGGTAAAGTGGGTTCTGACTGTAGTGTATGTTATCTTGGAGTTGCCTGTTCCTAGGAGACTTGTGTGTATTTACTGTGTTGCTTGGCAATTACATTTAGTCAAAGCAGCATAATTGGACTTTGCCACTAAGCATTGCTCAGGCATCAGCCTGCATTTTCTCGGTGCCTTAGGTGTCTTCTTTTCACTTAAATTTTACTTTAATTTTTTTGTTATAAAGTGCTTCAAACCTGAAGAGATTTGTTGTTGTTGTTTTGTTTTTTTTTTTTTTTGTGTCAGTGTCTTACTCTGTCATCCAGGCTGCAGTGCAGTGGCGCCATCACGGCTCACTGCAGTCTCAACCTCCTGGGTTCAGGCGATCCTTCCACCTGAGCCTCCGAAGTAGCTGGGACTGCAGGCACGTGCCACCACACCTGGCTAATTTTTTGATTTTTTTATAGAGATAAGGTCTCATTATGTTGTCCAGGCTGCTCTCAAACTCCTGGGCTCAAGCGATCTTCCTGCCTCAGTCTCCCAAAGTGCTAGGATTATAGGCATGAACCATCAAGCCTGGCCTCTGCAGAGAAATTTAAAAATAAGTAGAGGTAATAGATTTCTGTGTACCCACCACCCAGATTGAACAAATGTTGAATATTTGCTTCAGCTTCTATTTTTTTAGACAGATTCACTAACCATCCCTTCCTTTCCAGTTTTTCTCTTCCTCCTGCCTTCCTAGCAGTAACCACTATCCTCAGCTTCTCTTCTGTCCTTCTCAAGTGGGTTTTTAATCCACCAAAAAGATACAACCAGCTCTGGCCTTTAGGAAAATAGATATGTTAACACCAGAGAGCAGACATTATTGTGAAGTAAAGGAAACACTTCTAGTTTCCTAGGCTGTTGTGGAAACTTCTGCTTTTGTGGAAAGAGGTGTGACATTGTCTCAAAAAAATGAAAAATTGAACATACCATGTGATCCAACAGTCCCACTTCTAGGAATACACCAGAGTAACACAAATCACTCTGCCAAAAAGATACCTGCTTAATAACAAAAACATGGAATCAACCCAGGTGCCCACCGAAAGTGGACTGGATAAAGAAAATGTGGTACATATACATGATGGAATATTATGTAGCCTTAATAAAGAACAGAATCATGTCCTTTGCAGCAATATGGATGCAACTGGAGAACATCGTACTAAGTGAACTATCATAGAAACAAAAAACAGAATATCACATGTTCTCACTCATTACTGATCACTGGTCATGTGAGCACAAGCGTGGGAATGGCAGACACTCGACCCTTCTAGGGGAGGGAGGGAGGACAGAGTGAGGCACATGGCACATGGTATCAGTTTCACTATCAGGGAAGAGAGGACCTGCTACAAGTCGAGACCTCACCTGTGCACAATTTACTTATATAGTAAATCCTCATATGTACCCTACAACTCTAAAATATAA